AAAATGGTATCGCAAGCCAAGTAGTAAAAACATTCTAGTTCACTGCCTCTCCTCTCATCCTTCACTCATGAAGAAAGCACTTATCAAAAACATGTATCGTACGGCTAAAAATGTGTGTACAGAAAAGAGGAAAGGAAGGAATCGCGAAACCTGGCACGAAAAATTGCCATTTCCAATGGCTACGAAGTTGAAGCCACTCGGGTTAGAGGAAAACGTTGGGTAGTTTCCCAAAATAATATTTCAGACGAAAGTAGGATCCCCTTTAAGCTGCCCTTCATATCAAACGAAGTAAGTCACGCCATTAAAAAGTACTTAAGAAAAAGTGGTCTTGAAAATTATGTAACGATTATTGACATCCCACCCAATACCCTACGCCGCCAGTTAGTTCGAAAATGTCTCTATGATCGTTTGTGCAGCTCAGAAAACTGTATGATCTGTCCTTACGGGAGAGACGGGGATTGCATGAGTTTAGGTATAATATACTTGATCTCATGTAATGCATGCGGCGAGGAATATATCGGGGAAACGGGTAGACCACTTTGTGTCCGCATAAAAGAACATCTAGATGGAAAAGCTAAAATCCGTTTAAACATCCCTCTAGGTACGCATAGGGCACAAAAGCACAACGGCGATGATTTTGAAGTGAAAGTGCGGATCTTAGCGCAGGAATCAAAAACATCAACGCGCAAAACTCTTGAGGCGTTTTGAATAAATTTCAAAAATCCAAAGATGAACCGGAAGGACGAATGCCTCACTATCACGNTTGAAAATTATGTAACGATTATTGACATCCCACCCAATACCCTACGCCGCCAGTTAGTTCGAAACCGTCTCTATGATCGTTTGTGCAGCTCAGAAAACTGTATGATCTGTCCTTACGGGAGAGACGGGGATTGCATGAGTTTAGGTATAATATACTTGATCTCATGTAATGCATGCGGCGAGGAATATATCGGGGAAACGGGTAGACCACTTTGTGTCCGCATAAAAGAACATCTAGATGGAAAAGCTAAAATCCGTTTAAACATCCCTCTAGGTACGCATAGGGCACAAAAGCACAACGGCGATGATTTTGAAGTGAAAGTGCGGATCTTAGCGCAGGAATCAAAAACATCAACGCGCAAAACTCTTGAGGCGTTTTGAATAAATTTCAAAAATCCAAAGATGAACCGGAAGGACGAATGCCTCACTATCACGGGTGACCTGGCGCTCTATTTCAAAATGTTTTTTTGACCTCGAGGTGTGTTTTGCTCGCGACTCCATGTGAACTACGTGTGGGCCAGTCCCGCACGTAACATAACGGTGAGTGGCCTTTCTGTTCAATATGGCGTCTATTTGAAAGTTTGATCTTCATTAACATTTTAACCTTTCTTTTCCACCGAATAATAAAAATATTCCAATATTAAATACGTCCAGGCTCTGAGGAAGGCGAAGTCGCCGAAAAGTCAGCCATCGATCAACAACATCAAAAACAACGACAACGACAACGAAGACCTGTACCAACCTCGCATCAGCTTAAGAAGATCAGCTTATAAGATCATATAAATAAATATGTCAACTATCTATGCCGAGGTTTATAGAAAGTCGGTCTTTCGAGTTATTATGGGAAGATACACAAAAGAGCATAGAGAATAGGTAGAGCATAAAAAGCCGAAGTAATAAACTTTGAGGGGGCAGATAACAGTGGTGGTGATGATGATCATCACGAGCACAGTGCTGTTTCGGTTTCGTTTCCCACTCACCGTGCCCTTCTGCCATCCGGAGTCGAGAAATTAGTAGAGGACTTGTCGGAGAAAAAAATTATTCTCTGCATTCCAAGTGAGAACGCTCTAAGTCGGCTATCTCAGGACTCCAAGGAGAATTGTTCGACCAGCTTTCTACGACGTTCAAGATCAGGTGAAAATCTTCAAACATCAGCCACACGTAAAACGTTGGAAGACCTTCGTCGATGATGTGGATGATAACTGCGAGGAAGTAAATCGAATTGGTGATGCGCTGGGTTCCGTACAGTAAGTGTGGAAAGACGGGCTGTGTAAAAAAATGAATGGAGAAATTCTTACAATAGTCAAATTATTCAGTGAGAAGCAAGAAGCCAAATATGTTTCTTTGTGAGAAGAGAAAACACACCTGATCGAATTGATTTCAATGCATTCCAGCCACTGAGTAAAATTAGCCGTAGCTCAAGGTGCCGTGGCACGAAAATAAGCGACTGCTTCAAGCATGCGTATTACGGTAACGAATGATAATCATTTTTTCTCAATGTTGAGTAGCCAAGTGAGTGACGAAGTGAGTTTTACTACGATATACAACAGATGTGGAAATGTTTAGGCAAAAAAAAAACGCACTCCTGATGAATTTAATTCGAACAGCGAAAGAAAAAGAACGTTAGAACTTCAGGAAAGAAGATGATTCAATTCAAAGTCATTCGTCTTTCAATGCCTTCTATGAGAATTTTTTCCATAAACTTGTAACAGTGAACGGCTGAGTGCATTTTCGACGGATAAGAAAATAATTAACTGGTCTCGAATGCAATTACCTCCTCCAAATGTCCATCCGGTTGGTCGGTTCGTTAACAAGCTTAAGGCTGCCAAATAAAACTCTTTAAGGGTGCGAAGGAATTCACCTTAAACTAAGTTCAAGCTGTGTAGTAGTAAAACGAAAGTCTATGGGAGGTTTTTAAGTCTTTAAAACAGAAAAAAAAATGATAGGGCGGCAACAACCACTGTCTTAACCAATCTAAAATGTTTACTTGGAATGATGATTTATTTGATGAATGGAGGACTTTTCTTATCAACCGCGTGTATGCTCAATAATTAAGGAAGATACTGAGTGAAAGATTGACAACATCAGCTGTAGCTGAACTCTGAAGCATTGTTCGCCATAGTGCAAACCGTCACCAAGCAACGCGAAAATCAGGAGCAAACAAACTGCCAAATTATGTCACTTCTACGATCCATCCTCCGGAAGTATGTCGATAAAAAGTCCTTAAAAGCGAGCAAAAATGTTACTCAATTGTGAGAAATGCGCCATTCGTTCTTCGACTTCATCAAACATCGTAAAAGTAAGTGAATGCAAATCTGGCCTATACGTGAACGATATGATGTTGTGTTATAACAAATTAGTGTTGCTATCCAGACAAGTTTGGCTCCAATTCGCAGACGCTAAAAAATAGAAGCATGTGTACCACTGAGAGTGGAGTCTAACCAAAGACCACATGTGTGGTGAAAAGCACTTTTAACAACTGCAATACAGGAGCAGCTCAACGTTGATAAGATCACTAACCCATAGATATGGTGAAATAAACCGGGAAACTAGAAGTTTCACCTCACTACCGCCAATGTGTGAATAACTTTTCCAGAATGTTTTTTTTCAGTTCTGCACCTGATTGAAAGCTAAACTTTAAGGCAATAGAGACTAGTTCGATTTCGCCCCTGCTAGCCAAGCCGCTCATCCCTTTGGGGTCGGAAAATATGCACCGGACTTGCCTGGGAAAAAATCACTCCCTGCAATCCAATTGGGAACGCTCTCGCACGGCTATCTCAGGACTCGAGGGAGAATTTCTCGACCAGATTGAATTCTACGACATTCAATATATAATGAAAATCGGCAATCGAAGCCACACGTAAAGTTGGAAGATTTTCGTGGCCTATGGATGCAAGGAAACCAAATTAATGTGAGAGGTACTGGAATCCGCACAGTAGACGTGAGGACGGGTCAAATAAAACAAGGAACAAAATAAAAAAGGGCGCAATGGGGACGCCATCACGTTGCACTGAACGAAATCTCAGTTGATGAATTAGACTGTTGTTCGAATCACAAGCTAAGAGAGAAAAGTGAAAAAAAAGCGTTCTACAGTATCCAGTCAAATTTTTTTGGAGAATATTATAGGCTGCTTTTGCTAGCAAAACTTTCTAGATCTTAACGTTTTCACTTTGAGTAACAAATTTCGTTATGAATCAGGCTGCCTAGATGTGCTAAATTGAATGACATGCGCATGAGTCATATATGAGTCTTGTGGGGCGATGTAGACTCCCGTCTATAAATGTGCCATAGTGTCCTACAGCACACACGTAATATTTGGATATTCTGTCTTTTCCCGAGCCTTGGCAAGCCAATCCCCCTATTTCTCTGAAATAATATCGCTTATGAGGTTCTCTGTGAGATATAAACACTGACTTGTTATATCGGTTAGCCTGCGCAAAGGCCAATTATGCATTCAATCACCTCTAAAATGCCCGATGAAGGCGGTTGCATGGTGCGGCACCAAACACCATCCTTTTTTATCACAATGGTGCTGGGGTATTTGTAAAACTTAAACACAAGGCTGGATTACCTTTTCCGGAGCTTACGCGTCACCCACTGCACCACTGAGGCCCTTGTTCTGCCTTTCTCTAGGTTTGTGTTTTATCCTAACGGTGTCGTCATCAATCACCGCTCGACGGGGACTATGTGAGAAACACAAATTGGCAATGAGCCCAATCAAGCTCAGGGTTTAGTCACAATCACAGTGTATAACTTTTCATAACTTAACTTTGTATAACTTTTTTAACTTTTTTTTTCACCGCCTATTACTAATTTGTTAAGAGGAAGCATGACGAGAACCTCAGTGTTGCAGTAAGTAACATGTGATCCTAGAAGTAGGTAGTCGCGAGCTCGAATCTGGCCTGCGATCCAGATTTTGCTATATCTCAGCATCGTTGTGGTTCTATTGCACAAAATAATCTGCCGGGAAAAAAGTAATAGGCAACAAATAAACGGTTGTACATCCTTCTCTATTTTCGAAGTTTTCTTATCTTCTTATCAACCATTGGCAGTTATTTCGTTACTACAACTCGAAGATTAGGAAAACCATCAGCACCGTTTAGGCCTCCGTCGCCATAGCAACATTTCCTCAAATTGGTATAACACTGCAAGCTTCACTGTTCCATTGCACCGCCACCTATTCATCTCTTCGCAACCAACTGGGATTATTCATTCAAACAAGAGTGCCGATTTTGGTGATGTCACTGATTCGTGATGAGTTTCAATGGATTTGTCAGACCATATCTGGTCACGAGAGCTCGCTGAACAAAGCTGAGCTTTACACGGCAGTCTGCTGTGCTGGAAAATCAGTCATTCGCTCCCATTTGGACAATCTGTGGCCGTCTGATAAAGGTATGCTTCACTGATTTTATGCAGTATGTTCTACAAATGGTCGAGTTTCTAGCGTACTCCGTGATTCAATGTTTGTTCCTCCCATAGAAACAAACTGTGTGCGCGCTTAAAAAATTTCTTATATTGGAAAAGCAATACTCTACTGAGCGAATGATATGCAACACATTCCCGTTGGACGTTGGATGAGAGAAATGAACACCAATAAACATACCTCTTGTGAGCTGGAGCTTCTCAGAGGGTTCTACTCACTTTAAAAAAACGCGAACCCTCCACAACTTTTGTCTAGGACCTTAAAAGAGGGGATTGATCACAGAGCCGGTTTCCTTCGACCCTTCTGAACGTTCGTTTAGCATGCAGTCAATGCAAGCCGCTAAGTGGAGTTTGGCGAACGACATTCGTTAACAAATATGTAGAATAGTGGCATTGATATCAGCGCATGTGTGGGTGGACGAGAATGGCAGCGCATTCGTTCCATGCATACTCTTTTCGACTGTTTATTTCGTCGTAAAGGATTGATTTCCATTCTTTTTGAACGCAATCGATGGCTTATCCAACACGATGCTTTTTCAGGCGTGGAGCCTGGAAACCTATTTCTACGCCTAGCCATCTATCGACGACCTTACTCGAACAGTTTTTTATGTACACACCGCACCACGAAAAAATTGAGCATAGCATAATCGTCAGCTCCTTCCACAATATCTAGGCTTAGCCGCATATTTGTTAGATACAATGTCTATCCAAAATCCGAAATCATTACATACAGGTCGGTTGGTTGGATTCCCTTGTTCCTTGCTTGAACTGGGGTTCCGCTCGCGTAACGCTCTCGACAGCTAGTTCATTAACACTGACTAATTTTTCCCCCTGTTGTGTAGCATCAAGTTTCCACAAGGGCTCTTGGCAATGCGGGACATTCTTTACGCTCTTCGCAAGACTTCAAATTCTCACTAATCTCGCTACTACGACTAGCAAGACTCTACATCGAGATGAAGAACAACTATGGACTATCAACTCGGATCATCAACTGTGATGAAGACGAAGACGCCGAAGCGTTAGCCGAAATAAGTATCTTTATCAACCTCGTACAAGCTTGACAATTTGAAAACATGTTCACTATTCTCACTGTTCTATTCTCCTCAAGGCAGAGGTTTTCCCACACTAGACTGTTGACATAAGTCCTTCGTCATTCACAGTGTCAATACCAAGCATTTTGCGAAACCACATAAGAACTCTAGATATTCTTTGCAGTACCCGACATCATTCATTGAGTGGATCTCAGGAAATCCTGCATTGAACTCGCCTCCTCACACAAGTCATACGAAAAGTTTCCAGGTTTTCCGCGTAGGTGTGGCTACTTCGTAAGGATTTCTGTCGACGTGAAGAGGAATGTGCTGATGCCAGATAGTCTGGTAAGAATGGGAGACATGCTGTACTCGGAAAGAGATAGAACAAGTGCTGATGCTTAATAGCATCACTGCCGCTCTGCACCCGCCTCCTTTCCCAGACATTATGAAGGCGAAAGACCAGGAATTCCCATACGGATCAGTCGTTCTCTTACACCTTTTGTCTAAAACAGATACGAATAAGCTCAGTCTCCAGTACGCCAGTTTTTCTAGAACTGGTCATAATTTGTCGATCATTGAAGTAGTTGTGCAGTTGATGAGGACATAGCAAGCCCATAAGGCAAGCTTTCCCTGTTGTGATTCGTAGCTGCAATCGTAATACATTGAAATGACCCTGTAGAGTCCTACAATATATCGTCTGCATATTCTTAGCCCACTATTGCCGCATTCTTCAAATGAATAATAAAGTAACGGTATAGAAGTTTTCCCGATTCCAACGAAACGCCAGTAGACATCCATCTTCAAATCATTTAGCGAGGTTTTCCACTTGGGCTCACTATAGCTCTTTCATGTTCTTGTAACTACAAAATGCTTTCCTGGTTATAGTTCTTAACAACTTGCTGTTTTGATTAGATAGGAATCGTGTCATGAAGAGAGACCACCATGATACTGTCTCCCTTATCTTTCTACTTCAACATTATCCTACCACTGCAGTTCTGTTATGCCGTCCATTGTTCCTACTTCAGCCTCAGGTCGGTGATCTGATTTGGAAGTCTACTGTTCGCCCTACAGTTGACAACAAAATGGGTCCTTCTATACACTAGGCTCCGCTATCCCTCCATCGCTCAGAAAATCGGAAGTAGAACACATTATTAAGGTAGCTACGGAGAGACCGCAGCCAGTATAAACAGGAATTCTGAAGGTGTAGGCAGGCGCCCTTGAGAATAATTTGAATAGCTCGAGAATGTATCTGAGCATTTAATGTCCACAGTATCTGTGTTGGATAAGCCACCAATCGACTACCAAAACTGGTAGGAAACAATATTATCTACTGGAATGAACTTCCACGAAAAAGTCACCTTTATAGAGCTCATGCCTAGAACTTGGTGCACCGCCTATTGGTGTAGAGAATGCACGCCGGCCTTTGTGTGTTAATACATTGATAGCGAAATGGGCCATGAATATCTCACAGGCTTCGGATCAAGTTAAGCGGGATGAGTCCTTTGTGCCTCGGTTGCTATCAGACCGTTTACTTTCCGACACAGATACTTTCTTAAACTTGTTGTAATCAATCGATGGCATATCGAAAATAGACGTTTTAGCTGTTGTCATTCACAGAAAGCTCTTGTCCTTGTTTTCGCTTTTTTAGACTTTTCTCTAGATTTTGTAGACATAAAAATAATTTTTACTGAGTGTTATTTTATTTCCAATAGCTATGACAATAGCTCATGGTTTCATATCAAGTAGGCGGTTGTAAGAAGTGCAGAAATGGACTCGATACAAGTTCCAAAACACTTCCAAATGCTGACAGCAGTGTGACTGTCCGGTGGATCATAGTAAAATACAATATATACTAACATACATACCCCTAAAGATATGCACTAAAGCCCCTCTGTAATTCTACGATGTCCTCAACTTCTGAGTCCTCTAGTTATCTGAAAATTATCGTTTATCGTCGTCGTCAAGTCTGTGACATCATAAAATTAAGCCTGTTTGACTTGCATTTGTTTTTTTATATGGCTTAAAAGATTTGCAAAAGACCTTCCTAAGGCCATACTGTTACATGGAACTGGTGTAGAGAAAGAACAATGAATTTGACGCGGAAAGCACAAAGCTATTAACAGCGTCTATTCTTATATTAGCGAAAGACATTATGACTGCAGAGCCGTAAGTCGATAATGAATCGGATTAGCGCCAAAGGAAAAAAAAAGATGAAATGCAGGGCTTAAAACTACGAAGTGCTCGATATACAGGCGACGATGAATCTTCAACGTTTCATGAAGCAACATTCAAGCGGAGGAATGGCTCCCATGGCCCTTCAGTGCCTTCAAAGGAGAGTACCCTGACGTAAAGCGTGTTTTCAAACGGACAACGCAATTTGAGCATAGCAGTGATGTGATTCAGGGGCCGGATGTCATTACACAAAACCTCCGTGGAATTCTCCGGATGCGGTTTTTATAGTCAAAACACCTCATTATAGATGAGATTAATTATCAGTGAAAAACAACTTGGTCAAACATCTGAATACACGGCTTTCTAGTGAAGCCAACTAGAAATACCACATGGTTACAAAAAATGACGGCTTTGTCACAGAATGATTTATGATTATCACTTATCTAAATGCCATTTAAGCCCTCTCAGAAAATGTTTTTACTCTATCGGTGTTATCACAGCAATCACCTATCAACGGGAATAGTCTGGAGAGCACAAATTAGTATTGAACCCAGTCAAGCTAAAGCGTCTTTTCTATCGGTGTAATCAGCAAGCAAGGCCCATGTTTTGGATAGTACGTGAGCTCCCAGTAAGGGTAATCGCTGGTTCGAAGCCCAACTGAAATTGCAAATTCTGTTCATATCTCAGCAGCCTTATGGTTGAATTTCCAGATTGTCTGCTTTATTTTTGAACACTGCATTTTATTGCAGACGAAGTGAATTTGGAACACGCTTTTCGAATATTCGAAGAATTAGAAGATTTGGTGGTGGACGATGACGATTTGGCAAAAATTAGGAAAAGTGGCGTTTCGATTAAAATCGAGCAACTGCTGGAAATGGTGGTGAGAACCAGTTTTCATTGTCGTTTTGAGTGCTTTCCGCAAAACAAAGACGTTGTTTTCGTGCCTATCTGAATTGCCCTTGCCAAAATTTCGGACATCTGCGATCAGTACAAGCCTAATTGTCGCGCTGGTGACTATACATAAACCAATCATTTCAGCCCAAAGAGCAATGTAACGACGTGCGCTCATATATTTCTCCACTCGTCAATGACGGAACGCTCTCTCTTGAACAGGTGAATTTAATGAACCACAGGTGGTATCTCTGAAACTGCGTCCCAAGTGGAAAATCCTGCTCTAATGTAGACAGTCTGGAGTGTTCGGTACGTGTACTCCTGGAATGGGCCATGCATTCGGCTCCATTCAGCATCGTATAGGTGATTGGATGCATACATGAACTCTAAGGCGACTTGTTAGAAGCTACCAGTGTATTAAGCTAGCATTTTTATTTGGTTGGCAAATCTGGTATCAATTTATCGACACGGAGGGGTTCGATAGCTCGGTTTGTTCCGGTGGTAAGACCGCATTTGTATCTGCGAACACATCTAACGGCTGCCCGGCACGTCTCCACCTTAATCCATGCAAGTGAAAAATTTTAAAGCGAATGGAATTTTTATGTTGGCACATTGGCTTATCGTAGTTTTAGTTATAAGAAAAAGGCGATATCAAGTTGAACCGAGTTTTCGTCCACTAGAATAAACTAGTGTTTTGAACCGGCATCAGACAAACAAACAGCGTTAAATTTGTAGCGAATTAAGGAAATTATTACTTCACTAGTTTTCTAGCATTCCGAAAAATTTCGGTACTTGAAAATAAAAATGTATTGCGAGGGATCTCTTGCTGGGCGAAAATGTGTTTCAAGTAGCTTTCTGTTTTCATCGAGTGAACATTCAAATGGCTTTCTCTTCAACATTGTTGGCTCGGCTTGAGTGTTGTTATGATCTTTAAGGACAACACTCTTCTGATCAGGTTGTTTCCATTCTAACAAACCGAAAACCTTTAGATACAGTTAGAAAAAATAAGATAAAAAGGGTAATGACGAAAAATTGGGAAAACCATTAAAAAAAGGAGCTCGGAATGGCAGTGACAGAGTGTTCTTCCCATGTCTTTGAAATAAGCAATGGTACGACTTCCCTAAAACGGAGTGAAATTTGCCGCTTCGGACTGCGGCTCTTCCAGGACAGCGGCGATTCTAGGGTTCGACGAGGATGAAGCAATAGTCTAGATCTCTACCTCTTTCATTACTATTGTTACTTATTGAGCCAGATTTTGTCATTTTAACTAACTGTGCTTAATTAAAAAGGCAAGAACTAAGACAATACAAATGAGAAGAAGAAAGAGCACAAAGTGTTGAGACGCTCGATCTCACTGAAATCCACACGAGGCATATTTTCACTACACTCACACCATTTGCAATCCAAAAAAACACAAAATCGAAATAGCGCCATATGCAATGGCACAATACTATTTAGTTCTTCAGGATTACTGTAAAAAAGTGATTTTTCTGTTGTCTCGTTTTTTCTTCTTTATGCAGCAACAGGTAGACAATAGATGATAGACAATCGCAGTCGGAATTACAAAGAATGTAGTTTGATAAAATTGAACATGCCGTTTAAAAACTTGTCCTTGAAATGAAAGAAGCCGAAACCGCTCATCGCTGGACTCTCTCCCAGGAATGCATTCCACTCTATTCGTAGCATGGCTGAGGTGAGTGAGTTCATAATTTGCTCGTACGATTACTTGCAATGCCTCAGTGATGTATCAAGTCAGTGTGTTTATCCTCTCAGTCATGTCCGGTAGCTATTTTCCGACCATGAACGGAAAGGGCTTTGATTAGCCCGCGAATAGGATTCAAAACCTCTCTTCATACTTGAGATAATCATAGAAAGCAGAAAACGTACATCTCAGACCTGTTTGTCTTACTTTCGTTCCTTTTTCCTCTATCAGCTAGCTTTCATGTTTCAGTTTATTCAATCAGTGGAAGCGACGAAACACGAAACCCTCAGCCGCCTATTGCAATTACAACGTAAGAAGCAATTAGATAAATTTTTCTCAATTATTTCACGAGGCTAATCAGGTAATGACAACGGCAAGAACCTTTCGAAGATATTTGGGTTCGTAGGACGACATTAAGCATTCAATCCAAACGAAATGAAAGCCGAAAACAGCCTTAATTGATTCAACTGTAAAATGGTGTGCCCAAGTACAATGGCGTGAAAGCGAAAAACTCCGCCATTGAAAAAGAACGAGGTCCCGAAACGAGTAATTTCATTTTGAATTCTAAAGTCCATCAATAAAATTCAACTGATCCAGTTTATCGTTATTCTTTTCCAACGTTCGCCCATTAACTCGAAAGACCATCAAAAGATTTTTGCTAGGCGCAGCACTTTTTAATTATCAGCTTCTTATGAGAAAGAGAGAACTTTAGCAAATAGACTTGTTTCAAAAGACCAGCACCGAACGATTCTGATCGCTCTAGCTGAAACCGAAGAATACAAATCCAGTGGAGAGAAATTTCCGGCCACAAGAAGAAATTCTCAACTTGACATCAGCACCGTGGACCTTTAAGAAGAAGTGGTTACGAAAATGATTAATGCATTTTTCTGTTTGTCAGAGGACAGTCTTGATAGCGCGAAGAAAGGTCGAGGCGTCGTGTCAAGTCGTGGCGAACAGGTAGACGAACAATCGGCGATCGACACGCAAGATGTGGGTTTCCGTTGTCACGAGAATAACGAACTGTCATGAACAGATAGGTTTTGTCTTGTTGAATATGACAAGTGCTCTAATCAGACATGGTTTCAAAATTAGTATGAATTCAGCGGTTTGGATTAAAAAACACTGAAATCAGTTTTGTAAGCTATCCAAGTGATGGGACGTGGCGGGATCCCTCTGTGGCGCCAACCTGAAGCAGTAAGCCGATTAATTTCTGCGCTAACTCAGCAGCAGATTGGCGCGAAAAATTGAAAGCAAACCCCACAAAAAGACGTCTTTGTTTTTTTAACCACTCTAGGAGAATTTGCATTGCAGTCACGCGAAATATCGCTCTCAATCGACTAACCGCATTCAGACAAACAAAACTGATGGAAACGTCCCTTCCATGAAAAGCTGATGGAATGTTGTTGAAACCGTGATGTAAAGCTCCAACAGATAAAAGTGTTCCATTTTTCATCATTCGCTAGTGTGGTTTTTCTTTAAATGTCCTTTAAGAGGGTATATCAACGTAAATCCTCGGCTTTGACGGTGCTTTTACACGAAATACTCTTAATGTGGCAGCTGGTTTTTTTGGGTACCGTAGTCATCTTCAGCAACTTTTTTTGACGCTTTAGTCTCAACGTTTTGCACAGAACGACAAAGTACATGAATAGGTAAAGCGTTTGGTAGTAATCAACTCCGCAAAGGTGCACTATGCGTTCCCTTCATAGCGCAGTTGAGGTGATTGAATGCATTTCTAGCACATTAATAACTTTAAGAGCTTGCCGATGTATCAATCCAATGTTTTTATTCTTCCAGACAAGGCTAATGCCAATATACCCAGTCCAAAGCGAAGGAAAGCTTTAATTGCCTTAGTGGCGGAATTGAACCACGCCACCACGATATATTGTAGAGGCCACCGCGCCAGATGAACTCATTGGAGGAAATTGTGGGATTAATAGGATATTTCCTTCAAACATTGATAACTCAGTTTACTGCTAACTCCTACCTAATTTAAAAAAACTAGGGATGGTTATCCTATTGCACTTGCTACTCTTCTTGCTTCTTGATTCGTTTAAGCTTCTGTTTATCTACACGAGTATAAAACTTTTTAAGAGTTCCCAGGATCGACTTCTCCGCAAACCTCGCGATTGCTGAACAAGAAAACGACACTTTTTAAGAGTTTAATACTTTCATAGAATCTTACATGAATATTTCGTCGAATTCTCATATCGTGACTTGAAGCATTCTCTAAAAGGTTGCCGTTCTGCACTTTTGTTCAAGAGAGAAAGAGAAAGAAAGAGAGAGAGAGTTCTAAGATTACCAAAAATAGCTCGGTACGACCCGATTCGTATTTGGTGTTCCTCGTAAGCAATTGTTCTCTTGATGGCCAAGCAAAACAAGAACATTGAATGGACACCTGTCCATACACCGATCGTTCGCTGTTACAATCGACAGTCACCGCTCTCCTCATTCTCTTCACCACAAACTACAAAATGTTCTTCAATTCGTAGCGTAGACGAGCTACCGGATCCTGGGAAACCACTTATTTAGAGGTTATCGCATTCAAAGCAACTCTGATTATTAGAGCTAGTTAATTTTCTGAACATATTTAAGTTCTTATATTTTCGAACAGCTCTAAGTCGACAGCACTAATTAGTTTTACTGAAATGCGTTACCATGTTACGAATCACCCGGCAATGCTTACTCTGTACCATTAAAGAAAGCCAATCCATCTGTCAACTCGATATCATGGTGGGTTAATGGGGTTTCGAAAAAGTAAGCTACTGACTTTCTCATCGAGGTATTCCGGCAAAGTCCAGGGCACCTACGATGCGGATTCAAAACCTTCATTCTAGTGTGATTGTTCAACGCAACGTCTGGTCATCTTCTTAACCGCTCAGAATTCAATCCACAACAATACTAGAGACCTTATGTCAAATAAAATAGTCTAAAATAACTTAAACTAAAAAAAATGATGGACCCATGTAGTTTTGCTGGATTAGGAGCATCGATTTCTGCATTGCGATTTCTTACAAATGTTGGTGGGCGAGCAACATTCTATGGCCAGTTGTCAGAACCATGCAAGCACCTGCTGTCGTTAGTTAGAATCCGGAAATGCGAACTTTGCAAAAGAATTCGCCTGATGTGTTCAAGTCGATGTTGTTCCTGCCTAATGAGACTTTGTTTATCTTTTCGCAATCGGATGGAACTGGTTGAGAAAAAAGGTTGAGTGCGATTTCGACTGATTGACGCCACTTAGATTTTATTAGATGTGCTCTCCCCAAAGCAATGCGACAGAATTAGTTTGACTTACTAGAATTAGTGTATGCGAGAAATCGATCTCACCTTTTGACCCGCTATTAAAGCCCAAATTACACAAGGTGGAAACGAGGGAAAAGAGGGAAAGCAAGTATTTAAGAGGAAGATCTGCAGCGATCGCTTGACTGCAGTTCCAAAGTGCTCCATGCTCCACGTGATTTAAGCAATCCTTTCAAAATCCATTTGTGGGGAAATAACTAGGAATTGGGTTGAAGTTTGGTATATATGAACCGAAAGAACACTTGTAAAGTTCCATAAGTCCAAATAAATGTTTGCATAAATAGTTATAAATAGAGCTACATAAATTATGGACATTATCGGTTTTTCCTGCAATATCCCTGTTTGTCGCGTAGTAAAGAAAAAGATTTTAAAACAAACTAGAAATTAGGCTCGAGGTTGACCATATTTTTACTGAATTCGATGGGCCCAAATAAAAGAAGTCAAACGAGTTACTCATTTTGTTCAGCTGCTGAGGGTAATCTAAACAACTTGTAGCTCGAATTGTCCCAAAAACCCAATCATCAATTTCCCAACATTTAAATCTGCGTCTAATAAGGAATGAAGTGACAAAGTGGGAAGGGATTGCCTAGTAGAGAACTTCAAAATTTCAGCGTCACGTCTTTAGAGGAGTGCTATTCACCAGTCCACTAAGAGTAGTCAAACACGTCCTAGAAGGAGAAGGCTCATGTCGAATCCGACTGAAACTCATCAACAATTGTGAGTGTTAGGCTTCTAACGGAGTCCTTCGACCTTAAAGCGAATTTCCATACATTCCTACTGTAGTGTGAATGCAATATAACCAGGCGGTGATTGATCGGAATTAATTGCTCTCGCAGATCAATTGATAATTACTCCTAGCAGTGCTAATTTGCGCTCTTGCATCGTTACCATAGAGCAATTGTTTTCCATCTATGAATAACGTGATTTGTATCGTTATAGCGAGTTTTTTTTCCTTCAACTAGAATCTTTCACTATGCCTCACCGGAGATATGTGTTCGTTTAAGTGAATGGTTTCAATAATACAACCACAACGTTGCTGAGATATTTGCAAAACTCTTGACCGCAGGTGGCTATGGTGGGGAACGAACGCGCTATTGTCCTTTCCGGGGAATAACGCGTTCACCACCACACCATGCGGGTCCTTCGTTTCGCTCGTCTCTCAGCTATTTCTATCGATCTTTGCCGCAACAATCACCCGGAAAGGACAATAGCGCGTTCGTTCCCCCACCATAGACACCTGCGGTCCGGAGTTTTGCAAATATCTCAGCAACGTTGTGGTTGTATTTCGCTTAGTACCCTGCCGCGAAATTATAGTAGGCAGAAAATAAAAGGTATAACATTGTGGTTTATATAATGTTAGAATATAAAGCAGGCTTCCTTATGAGCTGTTGTTTAAGGTGACATGCAGCCCAACATCTGTGTGAACGACGTCTTTGCGGTGGTCGTTGACAGTAGTGGACGAGTTGTCTCAGTAACCAGCGAACTGTATGGAGATGTAAGAATTTGCCGCTTCATTATTTCTTATTCCTCCTCGAAGACTTAAGAAATCAACATATAGTGTTCTCGAATTTCAAACAGCCATTCAAGACTGGTAGTGTAGCACTTGCATTTTTTTCTTGGCTTTATGAGGCACGTTGTCATTCATGAAGGTTCGCCATCCAGCCGAGGACTTCATTTTCATGAATGTCGTTGAATACTGAGCAAGTCAATTCGTGTAGAAATTCGTGGGGTTGCTGTATTAAGGATCTTTGACAGAGGCAGCTGTGGAACTTTTTTTATCGAAAGGAACAAGGACACGTCTGGTGCTAATTTTCAGAACCCAGAGAGATGGAAGGCACGGTTCGCGTGGTGCAGTGTCGGAACAATAGCAATGCCGTAGACAACCCCTAGGCACTCTGCTATATACACTCTCCTCAAATACTATTGAACGAACGAATGAAACAGCCACAAATCCTGTATTAGTAACGGACAGTATCCCATATAGTAACAATTGTGTGTCTCATTGCTGACTAGTCAGAGATCGTACAAACGAAAGCCATTCTAACTGCATCTTAAAAATGCAGCGCTGTGGAGGCAAACGAAATGAATCGCCTTGAAGCTTTCACTTTGCCATATGGATTTCACCCGTGCTTACTTTGTTATTCGAGAAATGGCTTCATGGTTTACTATGAAATCGCAGTGACTAGTGTAGTTTGAACCATACCTAGAGCAAGAAAAATTGTTTTTCCATTTCTGATCAGTTTCATCTTAAGATTAAGGAGAATGTCTCTTCAGGCTCGCATGTAGCACAGTGGGTAGACCAGCCCTGCAATCCGCATGGGATTGATCCCAGCGCCCCAGGGTTACTAAGCCTACCATCTCTCCTGGGTCAGCAAATTGGTACCAAACCTGTCCGGAAGGACTGCAGCAGTGACTCGATGCATCAGTGGGCCACCGTCATTATTATATAGGCTAGATACGTCCTGAGTCACCTCTAGCTATGCTTAGTGAAGTCGAATAAATAGTACATCCATTAGGAATTGATCAACACCGAGAGCTTAATCCTTTGTAGCTCAAACGTTTCTGCTCCGATGTTGAATTAGTCTGCTACATTATCCTCAAGGGGAGCTTTCATCTGCCAATCGTCGCTGTTGTATTGAAATAATCTAGGTCGTGGTTTCCTCACAATACACAAAATCTGCGCCTTCTATTACAAACCTAGAAACTCCCATAGCGTGATTACCTCTGAGTGATCCAAAAACCACGGTTGACCTGAATTGTGGGAACGACAAATCCTCAAGTTGTTGCCACACTTATCCACGCATCTGACTATGTTTATGAACCACAAAATGGATGGAATAGCAGATGATCATCTAAGTAAATGTCACAGAATTGAGTTTATTCTCATCATGGATTTAAAAGGCGTGAAATTGCTTTTGGAGAGCACATAGATATTTACTACAGCAGTATCGAAGCGCTTTACTCTCCTGGTTTACTACAGCGAACGGATTCCAAACCTGATTTTTTCCAGGGTTTCGAAACCAAAGAATTTCAACTTGAAGGTGGATGCGTCGTCATCGTTATGGGCTTGAGAACCACCGTTCAGAATTTCAAAAAGCAAAATCGAGTGAACCTCACCACTGATAGGAAACTTTCCAAACATTTCAAGTCAGTAAAACGCTCTACTTTTTACAAAATTTTTTTTCCAACATCATAATAATTACCTAGTGTAACTTGGAACTTCTACTGCCCGCCAAAAATGTTCTTGTATAGCCTCTCTGAAGACAAATTTCTCCTTAGTGGACCCCTTCAATCCTTATTTCTAATACTTTTCTCGACTTTTTCAATTTATCTGGGGTTATATAACTACAGAGCAGAAATTTTCCTTTCTACAGCTTTTGATCATGTGTACAAAAAGTACGTATTGATTAGTCTAAATTCAGTAGCGCCGTTTGGTGAGACAAATGTGGAGTACTTTGATTACCGTTTCCTATAGATTATGTGTGATCATCGTTTGGTTTCAAAGAAGAAAATCTCGAAGAACGATCAATTTCTTTAGGCGATATAAGTGCATTCTATTTTTATGCCTGTTAGAAATTTCTTGAAAGTGGATTCCTAGAAGTTACTAAGGAGCGAGAGAATGAAATAAACGGAGAAAATGTATACAGGCATCGATGGGGAAAGACACTAAATCGAGCAATTACAACAAAACAGAACTCATAAAACAAGCACAAACGTATAATCGTTATGTGCGAATTCTGGAGCCGATTAGTTCTCAAGCTTCGCGGGGCTTCCATAGATGATGTGTAGAAGATTAGACAAGGATCAATCACGATTATGAGGCACACTTCGAAACAGACGAAGGGCTTCTTAGGTTTGCTGCGGCATATTAAGTTATATTTTCCATAAATATAATCATATCCATGAATATGCGAAAGAGGGAATTTGCGTGCACCCTGCAATTCGATCAGAACGAGGATCTGTAATCAGATGGCTCTGAAGTACATCGTGGTGATTTGTGATCGTTCCCAACAAACAAGTTCCATGTTTACTGCACAGGGACCCAGGCAGCTATGGTCGTGCACTCCAAAAACAGTTAAGAAGGAAGAATGAGCGGATCCCTGCCGCTGACCTCGAAAGCGCTTGTAATGAAAGACGTTATTGGGTAAACCGTGTGAAAATGACTAATAAGTCCTCAGCACCTCATAACTGAAGGGCTTATACGAGGTAAAACTGCTGAATTTACAAAATTTCATTGCTGATCAGATGATGTAGGCCCAGGATATGAAGCACAATCTCTTGTGGGTAAGGCCTAAACAACTGTACGCCTTCGTCAACACATTAACCATTTTTCATCTATTACAATGCTAGTTCTTAGTCAAGTTGAAATAAGCACGATTGTGTTGTTGTATGAGAAAGAGGATCTAAACTCATGGAAGAACTTTTTACCGACCTCTCTCTTTTGTTGTTGTATACAAACGCTTTATTCGTGTCATCCTCAGTAGGGCTAACAACACACACAGGGGCAGCAAAGGACCAAATAAGATTTCTAGAGAATTTCTTCATATTTTTGTTGAGAAAACGCGAGGTGTTATTATTCTTTGTTCACGATTAATACTATACTTAGTGGAAACCTCATAGGAAGCGGCTCTGAGGAAGGCGAAATCCGCCGAAACGTCAGCTTAATCGTGAACAAAGAATAATAACACCTCGCGTTTTCTCAACAAAAATACGAAGAAAATTACTTGATCAATGCCGAGGTTAATAGAAAGTCGGTCGTGGCAATTTCTAGAAATGTTCAGCACGACAAGCGCATGCGCATGCTATTACAGTTACGAGGCTTAACCTAAGAGAATAAGACATTTCTAACTTTCATCGATTTCATAAAGGCCTTGCAACTGTGCCGCTACGGAAGCGTTGGAGAGCAAAAGTGTCCCAAGTAACTGATCATCAATGGTCTTTCATAAGCTGCTACAGCAACTTCATAACGAGAACTTCCCTTTATACGACAAACATCTATATAAAGATAAGGTTACTACAAGACGGTAGTGCTTCGTCAAATTACTCAGCCGACACTACCATTGTTGATAGTCGCCTTTTGTTTACGGCATAGCCCCTAAAATATCAAAGACTCTCATGCATAACAAATTCTAGCCGAGTCCGGCATCTCACACAAGATTTAATAGAAGATGTTTATTGCGAGCGGATTTGTTCCTAATGGCTTAGTCACAATGAATGAATGAATGAATGAATAAATGAATGAATGAATGAATGAATGAATATATTCTTTGTTCACGATTAAGCTGACGTTTCGGCGGATTTCGCCTTATTCAGAGCCGCTTTCTATGAGGTTTCCACTAAGTATGTCACGTAGAGACCAACCGCACAGAAATCACGTGGAAGTATAATGTCAGGTCCCTACGTGACATACTTAGTGGAAACCTCATAGAAAGCGGCTCTGAAGAAGGCGAAATCCGCCGAAACGTCAGCTTAATCGTAAACAAAGAATAGTAACACCTCGCGTTTGCTCAACAAAAATGCGAAGAAAATCACTTGATCAATGCCGAGCTTAATAGAAAGTCGGTCGTGGCAGTGAATGAATATATCTGGATGCATCGGCATGCTGAGTCAAGAACTCAAGATTATGAACAACATCACTATAGAACTAAACTGGAGCAGCATGCTGAACATGAAAGCGCATCAAGAATGCGCTAAAGTAGAGAAGGATGAGCTCTGAACTGTGTTTAATCAATTCCACCCATTCATTCCGTCACATATAACGAAGAATGCTAAACATGGTGAAGGTGCCTCAATGCTGTCGAAGGCGCCGTCATGAATTTGACGTTGGGATTATCCTGCAAGGAAGTGGGGACATCCGGAGCTCTTACTGGGAGATCAACTGGACTGCTCAGTTATGTCTATGTTTCTAAGCAACAACCGGTGAACATTAATCATTAATGGCTTCATCTGAGAGAATATCGAATGCCAAGCAAAATTCTAACCATCTCAATTGTCAGACTTCTTTGGAATTAACTATGGCCGTTTAAAAAATGAATCGGAAGAATTCAATCCTGGTAGTTAACGACATCTGTTTGAACAACAATTAATGGCCAGTGTCCTACTGAATGACCTGGCTGTCAACTGGAAAAATGATATAGGTGAACGCAGAGGCTGATAGTTCACCTATTAACTTACTTAAGACCACTTTTATCTCTATCAATATACACAAACAATATGATGGAAAAAAAGCAAAATAATACTCAGGTTAATCTAGTTCTATCTCATAAGAAAAGGAACTAACTAAACTGACGTCAGCTAACCTCTAATCATGTGTAAAAGTGAAAGGATAAAGCTCTCGGCGTTGATCAATCCTTCAGGGATGCGCCATGGATTCGACTTCATTAAGCCTCATTTGGAGGTGATTGAATGGATATTTCGCCTTTACAATAACTCGCGGTTGCCTACCGATGTATTGAGCTAGTGCAGCTATCCTCCCAAACAAGTCTAGCATGAATTTACCGACCCCGGAGAGATTGAAGGCTTGGCGGGTCATGGGCGCAGGGATCAGTATCACGTGTGTGTCGCAATGGCGCCTCCGACCACTGCGCCACACACACCGTTCCGAAGTGGGTGGGTAGCATATTGGTAGCGGTGCCGATTACGGCGTACGGGATTGATCAATCATCCCACAACTATTTTATGGGTCGTTATACATTCAAGAACCTCCACAATACTTGAACGTGTCAATGAATGGTGCATCCCTAAGCCATTAATGAAAGCTTAACGAGCAAGTGCTTTTAAATTCCTAGATATTCGTTGAGATTTTAGGATGACGTTGATGAATGTGTTCGATATGTTCGATTTCGATTGTGACGGCTTGCTCTCCAGAAGCGAATATGACGCATTTGCTATCGCCACCGGTGATACTCCGCCAGACGACGAGGTAAAGGTGTTTAGTACAGGGTCAGAGGCAGCGACATAAAATCCAGGTGACATCCGAATGATCCAAAACTGTTTAACTCTTTACCTCTGTTCGCGTTCCACAGAAATCATGTTCAGTAGACATCATGGAAAGTAGCCAATCTTGCCAAACGGTTCCTATCGTTTGTAATTGCGACCACTTACGATCCCAAGAAAACAGTTCAGGCAAATCCACCTTGAAAATGAGCAGAATTGTTAAAAGTTCTAAAGTCTCTATTTTGAAGCTTTGCCTGTTTCAATACCTCTTAGAAGTTTTTCGAGAGAAAAATACAAACGGAAATCGTGGAACTGATGTTTGTTTCCTTGACATCCACTTTATGATCTTGAATGTTCAAAAAAGGAATCTTTGAGAAAAATCATTTTCCAAGGTCGACTTTCTATTAACTTCGGCATTGAATTATAAATGTGTCGTTCCCTTTTCCAGCAATCGCGAGGTTGTTATTCAGCGCACCTTTACTTTATTACAAGTATAACACATACAACATACAACGGTAGCTGACTTTTCGGCAGTATCGCCTTCTTCCGAGCCTAGAAGGGTACACTCATATGTAATTTACTAGGTCATACGCTCCAGTAGCACAAACAAAAAGATGAAAATCTGAACGATGATTACCCGATCACCGAGTTCTCGAAAAACTCACCGGTTTTTAGTTGCCTTCCACCGAGGAAGACAGCCGCGCAGAGTCGCACATGATGTTCCACCCCACACCAAAAATCAGTTCTGAGATACGGGGCTAACTCACGTGTTAATTCTGAGAACTCTTCCCTACTATTCATTCCCGGATTCTTGGAATTTATCCAAAAGGCCTCGAGAGGTTTGCGCGTTGGTGTTTTGGGATTCTCTGTGAGAACAGAGACTTTTATATCAAAATCGTCTCCGCTATGCTCTTGTTTCCTATGCGTGCCTAGTGGCGTACTTAGTTTTGCTTTTCTTTGCCATCTAGCCATTCTTTTATGCGGATACATAAAGGTCTGCTCATTTAGTCAACATATTCATCTCCGCAATTATTACAAGAGATCAGGTATATTGTACTTGAATGCATGCAATCCCCGTCCCTGCAGTAAGGGCAAATTACGCAGCTATATGTTTCGCATAGACGGTCGTATAAGCGTTTACAAACTAACCGACGACGAAGAGTATTCTGTGGTATTTCAATTATCGCCACCGATTTCTCTAGATCTGCCCTTCTTAAGCATCGCTTCATCGCCACACTTATTTCATCACTATAAGTTATTTTATCTGTCATGTTACTTAATGCAATGAAAAAAGCCATGTTTTGTTGGATGAGAAAAGATATCTCGCTCTTATTTGGGAGTAGTGAATGAAGCCTCGGCGTTTTCGCCTTCTTCAGAGGCTGGAAAGGTCAAATTGACATGCAATCTACTCAGCCAAACAGTTTCGTAGCCTCAACAAATAAAACATAACATCTTGTAATAGTTCCCAGGATCGACTTTCTCTTAACCTCGGCATTGGAATATGAATGTGTCGTTTTCTTGTTCAGCAATCGCGAGGTTTTTAAACAGCATATATTTACTTCCATAAAAAACACAATACAATACAACGCTAGCTGACGTTTCGGCAGTATCGCCTTCTTCAGAACCGCTTTTTCGTGACTTCCAATGAGGAAGTTTAGAACAGCTGATTATAGTCGCATGTGGTTGTTCTGTTTTAAACTTCCTCATTGGAAGTCACGAAAAAGCGGCTCTATAGAAGGCGATACTGCCGAAACGTCAGCTAGCGTTGTATTGTATTGTGTTTTTATGGAAGTAAATGTATGCTGTTTAAAAACTTCGCGATTGCTGAACAAGAAAACGATACATAAAACATAACACATAAATTTTCACTCGCATTGTAAACAGCTTCCTTTTAAACACCCACTTTTTCATTCGTTGCAAATCTTCCATAACTGATGGAGGGCAGCCACACAGAGTAATAGATGGGCGAGAATGTGCCTGAGTCAGGTCAAAGAATCAGCCTGAGGCTGCTATTAGGCCATGCGTGATCACAATACACTACTCCTTGTGGTTGATTTTTGGAAATAATCGGAAACGCTTTAAGAGTTTTACGTGCTGATGTTTTGGATCCCTATGCCAAGATAGTGACTTTCACTTCAAAATCTTCTCCGTTAGGTTTATCTGTCTTATGCGCGCCTAGTGGAGTGTTTAGCTCCAATTTAAATGTACCGACTAGGTGTTCTTCTAGGCGGAGGTAGAGCGGTCTACCCTGTTCGCCAATGTATTCGTCCGCGCACGCTTCGCAAGAGTTTAAATACACCGTACCCGAAATCATTCAATTACAGTCCCTGCCCTTAGGGCATATTCTGCAATTCTGAGTTTTACCTATACGGCCATGCAGGTCGTTAGGAACTAACTGGGGTCTTAGAGTGCCCGGTGGCACTCCAATCAGTGTTACCGATTCCTCTAGACCGGTCCTTCTTAAACAACCTTTATAGCTTCACTTATTTCGTTGGAAATGTAGGGCAAGATAACCGGGAACTCATTCTCGATAGAATTATCGTTTGGTGGCTTTGTTTTCCCCCTAAATATATCCCTAACAGCTACAGTTTCGCAGTCATTCGAAATGGATATTTGGAGCGCCATTTTCAAGTTTTCTTCCTTCTACTCTTTTCTTGTGCAGACATCGGTGGCTATTCGAAACATGCTTCTCAGAGACACCCTTTTTGTGAGAGTGGTGAGAAGAGTGGTAATGAGCCAGTATGTTTTTGTTACTTAGCTTTCTGTATTCGTTGATGATATAGCCGTTTTCGGATGGGTTAATTTGAACACTCGTAAGTGGAAGACCGTTTTCTTTCGGCTTTTCTCCGGTGAATGTTACGTACTACGATTGCTTGTTCAATCACTCGGAGCATTTTTCCATTTCCGCTTGCGTAGAGGAGATGACAAAACAATCGTCTATATGTCTAAAGTAGGGCAATGGCCGGAGATCGATTACTTGTACTTCCACCTTAGACGAATTACCACCATGTTTTGTCTTATACATGCGTATCAGAACTCGTAATTCCGTATCCACTGATGATCTAATGTCTAACGATCCCCGAACCTTTAAGGTTATACCTATCACTAGTTGTATAGACTGGCCCACTGATAGAATGCCTTGGTTTATGAACCTAATTCTCAATCTCATCGCTCATGCAAATACCAGCCTGTCTCACGGATACCCAAATATTCCTCGATCGGCTGTGTAACGCGGATCCTAACAGCTCGTATATGATGGAGTCCTTCGACGTTACCGCCCTTTATGCAAACGTGTCGAATGACTCTATGATGTAAGCCATCCGTGAGCTTCTTGTGCAACACGAAGACGTAATAAACATGTATAGCTTCTCATTTCAGCACCTCATGACCCTTCTAAAGGTGTGCCTAAGCTGTTTGATGTTCAGATCCTCCGGAAAATAATACTACGCACAAATTAGAGGGCTGGCAGTGGGACAGCGACTGGGACCAAGCCTTGCCATTACGAGTTCTGATACGCATGTATAAGACAAAACATGGTGGTAATTCGTCTAAGGTGGAAGTACAAGTAATCGATCTCCGGCCATTGCTCTACTTTAGACATATAGACGATTGTTCTGTCATCTGCTCTACGCAAGCGGAGATGGAAAAATGCTCCGAGTTATTGAACAAGCAATCGTAGTATATAACATTCACCGGAGAAAAGCCGAAAGAAAACGGTCTTCCATTTACGAGTGTTCAAATCAACCTATCCGACCAGAAAGCCAAGTAACAAAAACACCCTGGCTCATTACCACTCTTCTCACCACTAGCACAAAAAGGGTGCCTGTGGGAAACATGTTTCGAATAGCCACCGATGTGTGCACAAGAAAAGAGTAAAAGGAAGAAACCTTGAAAATGGTGCTTCAAATATCCATTTCAAATGACTACGAAACTGTAGCTGTTAGGGATATATTTAGGGGGAAAACAAAGCCACCAAACGATAATTCTATCGAGAATGAGTTCCCGGTTATCTTGCCCTACATTTCCAACGAAATAAGTGAACCTATAAAGATCCAAAACATCAGCACGTAAAAATCTTGAAGCGTTTCCGATTATTTCCAAAAATCAACCACAAGGAGTAGTGTCTTGTGATCAGGCGTGGCCTAATGCCAGCCTCAGGCTGATTCTTTGACCTGACCCAGGCACATTCTCGTCCATCTATTACTCTGTGTAGCTGCCCACCATCAGTTATGGAAGATTTAGAACGAATGAAATGGTGAATGTTTAAAAGAACCTGTTTATTATGCGAATAAAGGTTTATATGTTAACGTTTATCTGTTGAGGTTACGAAAGTGTTTGACTGCACTTAGTGCAAATCACTATCATCTTTCCAAGGTTGAAGAAGGCGAAACCGTCAAAACGTCAACTAATGTGTGCTATTAAACGTTATAATTCCAACCTCGTCTTTGCTTACTGAGGAAAAGCAGCGAAACTATTGGTCAGCATCAAGATTCATAGAAAGCCGGTCTTAGGAATTCTGCTGACTTCGGAATTTGTTTATGAAATAAAAATGGATCATGTGAGAATCCCTCTTGTTTTAACACCTAGGTCTCCATTTACCTCTTGTGTACTCTCCGGGACTTTAAACGAATTGGTGGTTTCCAGGAATGGGAGCTCTTGACAAGTCAGTTTGATGCTCGGTCGGGATGCCTCACTGTAGCAGGATTTCTCTTCATGCATGAGGTAATCCACAATATTTGTATACGTGAAAGAGTAGATTACTACCACCGAATGGAATGAAATCAGAATGCATTCTAAAGTGCTGGCATAGATTTATTCCATCGAACTTATTTTGCCCAACTGACTGATTATTGGAAAAAAAAAACAGCACTTTAGTTTACAAGAAGAACTTTCATAGAAACCTTCCTTAGTTAAGCTTTTCGATTAAAAAAAACGATTACCTGCTCTGTTCGGATGTTCAATCGGAGTGATTGACCCTTCAAAGTACGTGGCAGTTCATTTAACACCCTCCTACCTCGTTGTAGTAAACCCAGGATGGAAAGTGGTATTGAACCACATTATTAAATCAGTTTACATACTTGGTTCATTTATGTGGCCACTTTATGTGTTTTATGGATTCAAGCACTCCTTCAACTCGGTTCGTTGTCCTTTATGTATTCCGAATTCCGATTGAGGACTTTGTCTTCATGAGTGTTGCTGAATGTTCGTCGAGTTGATTATTACTAGAATCTTGGGATAGCTCTTATAAAGCTTTACACCACAGAGGCAATAACTCACCTTTGTACATCGGTGTGAGCTTTTCTGCGATAAGTCTGCTACCAATTTGCTAACATCGTAATGATGGGATGCTTGGTTACAGCAATGTAGAATCCAACCGACAACCATGACCCTATTAATGCACAGAGTCTCGAACCGCTGCATTCCCACTGCCTTTATCAGTTTCATATTTCAATACTTTTCCTATGAACTGAAATATTTAAACGGTCAATAGATTGCGAAATAAACTAAGTAATCGAATAAGTATTTGTAAATACGACTCATTAACCTCCACTGTCAATAGGGAACCCTTGGCTTCGGAATTCTACTTCGTAAGAAGTGAGTGCAGTCATTTCAGTGTGAAGCGTTTTCTGGTGATGAACTTGCAATCCCGGATATTTGGGAGTCTTTGTATCGACTTGGATACAATGATGGCCTTGAACTTCAACATGTAAGATCGCTTTGGTTACACTTCGTGGTTTGAATCTCGTGAAAAAAATCGGTTTTTCCTCGAAGAGAAACCTTTTCACTGAGATAGGTAACTTGCAAGAGCATATTGTGTTAGGTTCCAAAAATGGGTTTTTAAAATCCACTACTTTTAACATAAGATTTCTTCCTTTTATAACTCAAAGCACTGTGCGTAAAAATGTACAGAGCATGGTCAGTGCCTACATTCATTATTGACAGAAAAGGTATCGATCCTCGTTTGGCTAAGGTTTCGACGTCTTTATCTTCTTCAGAGCCTCGATGATCTGAGTGGATGGTCCAAAATCCTCGTTGCAGCGTAGGTCTTCGTAGTCGCTTCAAGTGAAACGTATAGTATGCAGAACAGAGTTTTTTTTAAAGCTTCCTTTTCATCCCTCATGTATTTTCATCAGACATTCACTACTTGATTTGCCAAGAAAGTGGAAGAACAGAACTACAGGAACAAAGAGTTCAGCTTCATGTAAATTTATGAGCAACCAAGACAATTCAAGTCAAGTACTCTGCTTATCTAACACTGTGCTCTCCAGGGATCACCACGTTGTCGTGGTTAGGCGGTCTTCCTTGCGATCTACAGCGGGGTTCTCCGCCGCGGCAATGTTTCCCAGTCTGAGAAAGAGTAAGACCTTTCCATGCGGAAGGTCAGCTAAAAATTAATCAATACCAGTAATCACCGTCGTCATAATGTCAAATTACTCTCAAGACAGCCATTATCCCTCTAACACACAAACGCCGACGACAGCAATATGATGGTGACGACCTCAGAAAGCCTTCGGCTTGGCTGACCTCGGAGTGTAGAAAACCACATGGGCTAAACCAGCAAAGTTCATCCTCGGGATTCCACAAAACGGGCGCTCTCGCCTACGACGTGGGATCGTGGGACCACAGCGAAAAGCGATCAAATCTAGCGTTGCCTAGAACGTCATCGGAAACGAAGAAGATGAAAACGCCTACGACACGCCATGAGGAGTGCTTCTTGCTGTGCACTTAGATACCAGAACACTCTCTTCCGAAACCGATCCCTACGCTCTTCTTAAGGCTGCCGATCGCATCAAATTCCGTGTGATCTCCCTACAAGCGACGAAAAATAGAAAGAAAAATATACGCCGATTAAATAATGGAACCCTTGACGTTCGTGGAAGGAAGCTTCCGTTACGAAGTGTTGGAGGCACCGGATTTGGTGTATGTTAGAACTATTTCTCATATAACCTCCTCATACGAAATCTTGTTACCGCGCTAGGCCACTCCTCGCTTCCAGCTTGCGCTTCAAAAAGAAACCCCAGTATCATCAACTGTTACTCATCAACTCGCATAGTTGACAGGAGCGCACTGGACGCGTTTTACAGCCACTTGGAGGAAGTAACTCGCAACAAAAATTCCTTTTATAATTTATTAGACACTTCAATGCAAGAATAAGATGATCCAAAGAAAATAGAAACATAATAGAAGAATTCGCAGTAAGGAGTCGAAATGAGAATGGAAGGCGTCTTGAAGGACTGTTGTTTACAGCAGAGGTACCGAACCTTTGTAACATTGAAATACACTTGGCGCAACTGATAACAAATGGTAGTTTTACAAGCAGGAGCATATGCATCGGTATAGACAGGAAACATTATTGGGAGGAGCAGCTCAAATACGATCTATTAAGAAGAAATTCCGCCGAGATCTTTGCGACTATATTGTTTCGCTATCCGCCCTCGTGAACGAAGGTAGGACTATCAATACATTCCACCATGATATAGAATTAATAATGAAAAGTTTTACGCTAACCTTTTTCGTCCCGCGGATTCTATCCTCTAGAGTTCGACTTCCTTAGAGAGCTTGAAGAAAAGCACAGTTTCAAGACTCGATAGTCACTACTGAGTTCGTTTGATCAAGACGCTACATTTTATATGTACTTCCCGCAGCCCACATGACATCTTATCTTGAGATGGAGAAAATCCCAGACCGGTTGAAGACCTCGGGCACGGTGATCCGGCCCAAAAAGGATGAGAGGGTGGATCTCCGTAGCTATCGACCGACATGCTTTTTGAGTATGTTCTACAAGTTCTTCACGGAGATTATTAAGCCCAGCATGCCCAGGTTTTTGGATAAGGCACAACCAGCTGAGGAACGAGGATTCCGATAGGGACTCTGTTGCATGGGCCATATCTAGACTGTATCACGCTTGTGTAGAGTGCCACATTCTCCTGTCCTATCCTTTATCTACTAACAAAAGTATTTGAAAACGTTGAAATGAATGCGGTCATATTAGCGTTTGTGAACCAAGGAGTGAACCCGTCCTACTAAGAACTCTATGCGATTTTTATCGGAACTACAGCACCAAAATGCAGCTTTTTCATCGATACCACACCCATAGCAAAAAGGGTTCGACGAGATGACACAGTATCACCAGAGCTGTTTGCTTCTCCAATCAAGCAGATAACGAAGTCGTTGATCTCGACGGGAAAGGCATATGAAATGATAGGAAATTCTTGTGAAATCTCTTTTTTCTGAGGACATCGTCATTTTTCCATGAAATAGAAACGAAGCAGAGACGATGCTAAATGAGCTCAACCAAGCGGGAAAAAACTGGGCTGCACATAAACCATGGTAATCTTTAAAATTCCGTAATAGCTATTTTTTTCCCTAACCGTTAACAAAATTGTTAAAAGAGAAAATTGCTGTTCGTATATTTGAAAAAACCGGTTTTCTAACATCTCGTCGCTTTTGTCGAATCTTTAAAGAACTCATAAGAAGACCTAGTCACAAGAGTTTTCTCCGCATTCTGTTTGGTGTAGAGAAAATGAAACAGCAAACGTATTGAGAGATCGGTCAAATTCGGTGGTGTCCTCTCTTTAAGGGTCACCTTGTTCCAACTAACAGAAATTTCATTTTAGATTTTCTTCCTAGAATGTCGTACGTTTCGAGCCAAAATTTGCCGGATCTTTCCCTTTTTTATTCTGGTACACAATGAAGGCGACGTGGAGTTTTTTATGAAAGAAATGGTCACGCGGCAGTTTTCGAGTTTACTTGCAAGACTGTAAAACTATTTGTATTTATATCTACAAAAAAAATGCAATAGGGAATAAGTAAAAAGTTAACATTGTGCTTTCGACTACATCCTCAGCTTAACTGCGTTAATTGCCGATCTGAGCTCTCCAAAACATTCTCGTTAACGGGTGAGTGCTGGTGGCACTGATAGGCAGAAAACTAGCTGAGAGATATGCGAAACGAAAGACACGCATGGTGTGGTAGTGAACGCGTTAGCAACCGGAGGTATGACAGTTCGTTCGTTCCCCACCGCAGACACCTGCGGTCCGGAGTTTTGCAAATATCTCAGCATCATTGTGGTTGTACCACAAATAATGCCCTGCCATAAAAAATTGTAATAGGCAGTAAGTAGAAACATAACATTCTGTTTTCGAGTTCAGTTCTCTATTTTCTATAACGGTATAAGTAGTTGGGGCAGTGTTTGAATTCTTCTTTTGCTCTCCCCTCGCATTTTGCATTCTGTTTACTGTTCTGTTAGCACACTTTTCAACCTGTCTATTGTTCTCTTCTTCCATTTCCATAGGTTGGATTACGTCCCTGCATTGTGTCCCTGAGAAAGAAGCCCTTGCACTTGTTTTTCCGCGATTTTCGAGCCTTAGTTTAATGAGGTGAATTAAGATAAAATGATAGAAAACGAATTTATCTAAATTTCATACCCTCTGTAAATAACGTGCTTCCTTCAGTTCCAATCTTCTAACCTAATCGTGAATGGGGAGTAATTATAATTGGAACTGCGTTCTACAAGACGAACTTAAAGGTTTAAGCAAAGCTGCCTAAACTGAGAAAGTGCTCAATTTTGTCGACCAGAAATCCATATATGAACTAACGCACAGGAGTGATCGCTCTCTTTGTGCATCTACAAGTGTCCCAGTTATCTTAGCGCTTCAACTATTTGAAGGCAAAAAACTTGCCTACTTGGTGTGGAACTTTCTTTTGATAAAATTGGGCTAGTCCCTGTCTAAACTGACTATTAGGGAACTATTTGTGAAAGCTTCCTGAGCACCATAAGGAAAAGACTTGATACATACTTAATACTTGAAGAGCCCATCATCACTGTTTGTGCGGACCCCACCATAATCTCCATTATTCGGAGATTTGCTGGTTAAGCCATTATGGTTCCCTGGAGCCCTGAATTCAGCCTGGCCGAAGTCTAGCCCAGGTCTTCACCAACACGAGTACTCGCACCCCTTGTGGATCAAAGGAAGATTTACCATCATACGACTTTAATACCAGGACGGTGGCGGATCCTGGCATTGGTTTACGCTTAGCTAGGTTTCCTGAGGCGATGAATCCTCCCCCGTACATCGCAGTCCGACCCCCAGGAACACCTCCCGGTCACGATAAGGCGGTAAACCATTGGGAGGAAAAGACTTGTGGAATTAATTGTGTTGTGCTACAACTAGTTCCACTAGGGGTGACAAGAATCCAGGTGTGCAATAAATAACAAATACACACTTTAAAAATAAATAAAGTAGAGCTGTGGAAACAAAATCTTCTTGAAATTATTGGCTAATATCGATCCTCCTGCGATGCAGCTCCGTGTAAATGTAAGCTTCCTAGGCCTGAATTTTTTCCAGGCTTGTTCATTCATGATTGAAGTGGAAAATCACGGCCAAATAGTAGATACAGCCCGACTGCGCACAATGACGAGATCAGAAAGGGACCAAATCCTTCGTGGTCTATACCAACGCGGAAAAACAGACGCTGGCTCACAACTTGATGCCCACATTTTCACTACCGGCTACTTTGGAATGATGATCGTCCACAACACGAAGAAGGTGAGAAAAGAATGACGATGCAAAACGAATAATAAAAGACAAACTAAATAAAGCCAACTGCCGAATCGTTTTCTAAAGGTTCAACCCACTTGTCGAAAGCAATTATAGTGTTCCCTCCCAGCTAAAACACTTTAATTGCTCGCTTTCACGAATCGTTTTGCTCACAGTCCATAAAACTTTCTGGGTTATTACCTTCTGGAGTCCGGAGATAATCATCTTTCTCAGGTCGTCACAACGAACCTTAACCAACCATTGGTGGGAGGTTTTCCATTGTTCGACCAGTGGTTTTCAATCTAATTCAACTAAATGCAAATTCCGAATTGTCAATTTTGCACTATACAATTTCTAAGCCATTGAATTCATTGAGACTACACTTAATGAAGTCGAATGCATGGCGTATCCCTCAGGGATTGATCAACACCGAGAGCTTTATCCTTTATTTAACGGATGCGTGTAGCGCAGTGGTCGGGGGCGCCTTGCAACACGCAAATAAAGGGTTTTCGATTTTCAGTGTGGGAGGTTTTCAATATTTCAATCAGTGGCTTTGATTTAATTCAACTAAATGCGCATTCCCAACTGTCGATTTCGCGTTCTACAATTTCTAAGCCACTGTATTCATCGAAACATTCAAAATATCCATTCATTAAGTGGTGGTTAGAACGAACTGGTCTTAGAGCAAAAAAAACTCGATCATTGAAGAAGTTAAATAAATATTGAGGAAATCTGGAAATAAATCCAAAACGCAACGATGAAAATGGAATATTCGGAAGTGTAGTGAAGACTAGCAGATAACTTTTCTTGTACAACCGTTAACGGTCTAAAACCTGCTCAACCTTTCAGACATGGAACTTTGCGGTCGCTTGTCCCCTGTTTTGCGTTCTTACTACCGCTACTTTTAGGATGGAGATAAGACGTATCGAGTAGAAATCACAAAAGAAGAAAATGTGAAGTGGAACTTCTATCATGGCAAGGATGACATCGACCTGACAACCAGTGGTGATTGGGTACGTTCTCCACGCAGCGCCGTGAAAGATTATAGCAATACGGTTTCAGGGAGAAGGTGAACACGTCGAAGGACGTGAACGTCTCGCAAACGGGATAAAAAACAAAATGTAGGAATGCGCCCTAGTAATAATGATGCTGCTAAGCAATGACGTTTTGTCGCCTAATTCCATTTGAATGCTGTTATCTTCATCGATGCTTATGCCATAAGAAGCGTGACACGTGCCCTATGAAACGTTTCTAGCTCTTTTCTTTACGACATTAACATTTTAGTGTTTTTTCTCGACATTCCTGAAAGGTACTGATTACATCTTCAGATAAAATCTTTTCCGTCAGATGTTACCTCGATTTTTTTTTACGAACTGTGCTGATTAATTACAATCTTTTAAAAGTCTTTCTTCTGTAAACATCATTCTTTAAGATTTACGATTATTTTCAGATACTAGTGTGCTCGTATAGCGCAACAGCGATCGATCATTCCGCCGAGTTCCACCTCGTCGAAGAGCCGCCTGAGACGGACAATGGCCAAACTGCTTATACCTGATCTTCCGATCATTGAGTGCTTCATTACAAATCCCACTTCTACATAGGGAAAAACAATAAGACGAATACGGGGAGGAATTCAACTTGTAAACCTAGCTACATTTAGTTTCTCATAAACAGAATCGCTGTGCAAGACTCCGTGAGTCGAGGCGAAGTTAAATACCGGTATCAAAGCGAAGAATCAACGTTATTCAGCAATACACATACACATAAATTCACAAATTGTGATTAGATCTACAGAGAATACTCGCTATGGCGATGAACATGGCCCATATTCGGACCAGGTTCAAAACGCTAAACTAAATGACTTCCTTCTCAAACGTGGGAGACGGAGACGATGAGCTGGATTCTCTTATTCCGGAGTCGATCGAAGAGTTGGAGGAGCGGTTTTTGACAGCAATATAAGAAGGATCAATGGAGCATCGTTCATCTTTCAATGATTTCTCTTTAGACATAGCCAACTTCTCTGTGGCTATTTCATAAACTTCGGGAACAATTTTGTGAGGGATCACTGGTGGCGAAATGCGCAGCATTTCTGACGGTCGACGAGGCTGAAAATAAATCTGAGCACCTAAATATTTAAGACTGGAAGTCTATTAAAATATTGTGCTTCTGATATGCCAAAAACTGTATTGAGTAGGAGAGTGGAACGCCTTTGCGTTAGCCCTTTTTCGTTATCCAGGATTTGTTATAGAACAACCACCGTTGTGCTTTTCCCACATTACTGATTACACAACTCAAAGTCAATGGGCGCCACATGCCGCTTCGGCAAATATTTGAATGGAACACAAATGTGGCCTCCATGTCCCAAGACACAAATCAGTGAATCCCACGAGTTTCTTACTACCAACGACGAAATACTTGTCGTATATGAAAAATTCAGACAAGCTTATAGAGAAATGGTTCAAGTGGTGTTTTAATACATACGTACTAGTGGGTAGGAATACGCTACAAGCAGAAAAAGCCCTTCGTCATTCCTGGTTCGATAATTTAGCACCTGACTTGTCCACTAGCATAAAAACCTTGCCCGGATATATCGGAATGAGAAATATACATCGAATAAATTCTATGGAAGTCGAATGCATAGCATGTCTCAGAGGGAATTATCAACGCTGAACGCCCTTATGCTTCAAGCCTCGCTTGTAAATCTGTCAAACATTCATAAGGCATATCAGTAATATTATTAAGATGTTGTCAAAGATTGCGCTGTAACTTACAATTCTTCTGTGTCCAAAACGATTGCTACTCCGCGGTGGGATCGGAATTCTTAGCACGCTGTTCTGGCGAGAGAAGTATTGCGGCTGGCTCTCACCCACACAAAATGTGGTTACTTCTGACATCGATGCTGAGAAACCATCATCGAACTGGTCCTAAACCGAATGATGCTAGGAATGAACAGATGAAAGACAACCGCACGCGTTCATGATAACACGCTCGTAAATTGCAATAGAATTCATGAAAGCTGAAGGCTGAAGACTCCAGATTATAGCAAGTTTTCTGGAAACATGTTTACATCGTCGTATAAAATTATCATAGAATGGTGTTCTTCAGCTCTTCTCCAAATTCATGATGAAATGTTCAATCGTACTAAAGGTAATTTTAGTCTCCTAGCGAGTTAAAGATGTTATAAAAATTCAACCTTAGAAAGTGAAGTTAGGATTGGATAAAGAAGAATAATATGGAAAGAAAAGGAGTAGTCCGGATATGTGTTAAGTACGTTCGAGTGGATTTCGCGATTTGTTCCCGACATTACGCAAGCAAGCAACATTTGTTTGTTAATGCGTTCGTAGGGAAGAAGTAGTCGTAACTGAAATGGAATACAAACGCGAAGGTGAGGCTTACCAGCATTACGCTGATTTTTGTCAAGTGGACGAACAGAGCCGAAACGATACCTTCTTCGATTCCTAAGCTAACACGAGGTTGACGGAAAAAAAAGTAAAACACTTTAACTATATGAACTATATAAGTCAAAGACATAATGATTTCCTCAACCATTCCTCTTACTACCATCTGCCAATCAATACTTATCCATATCGTGCTTAAAACTGGATGTTAATAACATATTCGTATTACCTCATTATCTTCTTCGTTGTCGAGACTTGACTGGCTCTGACATTTCCGCAGGTTCTGCTCTTTCAGCTTCTTCATTTCAGTGATCTGATCACCTAACGTAATTAGCTGCTGAAGAAGGGACATATCGTTCTCCATTAACGAGAGCTGAAAAGTAGAAATTTCCTCCGATGCTCAATATTTTTCCTACTAAAGTTTCTTCTGGCACTTCTGGAAGAGAAGGAAAAGAGATACTTGCGAAACTAAAAGTTTCCTCAAAAAGAGGAGAGGACCGCAGAAAATCAAGACGGAGCAGTAGAGTGGATACCGAATTCTTTTCAATATTTGGTAATCACATTGCTCAGCAACTGGATCATACAACTGAGCTATCTTACAATTTTCGTTAACCCCACATATGCAGGGAATCCATCTAGCGAGCATGCTGAAAACGATGAAGTTCCAAGAATTTCTTACCCACCTTTCTATTCGATGAGAAACGACTCTCGTCGGAAAGGTGTTTTGAGAATGTGAAGCGATTGGACAGCATTCTTAAATCCAACGCTTGTATAAAACATTTTTCCATAAGCACTTTGCCCCAATTTGATGCATCGTCAACTTGAAAAGAAGAGCTTAGATGTGCCGATTTGAGTTCCCTTTAAAATAAAACTCCTCTTCAAAATTTTCTGACTAAAGATTTTTTGCCTTCTGGTTCTTCTTTGAAAGATGAAAATTTCTGGATGGAGTCAATCGCTTTTGAGCCAATGATTAACCGTTTTCTCAAAAATCGATAGTGTTGTCAGGTTTTAAATTCAGTATGAAACATGAAACACTATACGGCAAACTTTTGAATGATTGGTGTCTTCCTAGATTTCCATTAAATTTCTCAGTTTCCGTCATTTTCACCAGGACATGTAACAGTTCATTAGTTTCGGGAAAGTGAGATAGTCTCACTTTTTTGACGAAGGTTACACTTCTTGCACTTACCCAGTTTTTCTCCTGATTTTATTGATCAATTTCACATCTGTTCAATTAGAAACTCAAATCTCAGACTTGCTCTTTGAGAATTAGAGAGCTAACAAAATTTAGAGAACTACTGAAAATTGATGGTGAAACTGCAAGGAGTTCACATCACACCAATAGACCAACTAGAACGAACTTTCTTCCCCTTACTTAAAATCCTTAGTATTTTCAGAATTCCGTGAGCTAGACGTGTTGCAGTTGTCCTCAAATCGATGAGCATTCCGACATATACACGGCCCGAACACTCCAACATGGTGGACCTCACTGAACTCATTATTTTAGCTGAGTCACGGCAACATACGGTTCGAGAATGTCCGATCGTATGAATGTATGGAAGCGGAGAAGGATTGAGTAATTGCTGCAGGCAGATGCCGGCCATCTGCCACCCACTGGCCGGCCGAAATTGTACGCCGATACCGTATAATGAGCAGATAACCTCTTTAGCATGCACCAGAAGGCCACTCAATACCTCGACTCTTTGCGAGCTCATATGGACATCACTCAAACCATTACCCGGCAGCACTTTTCAATTTTATCCACTCAAATTCCGGGCAGAGCGGCATTAGCTGAGTTCATTGCTGAATTCGTATTGTCTCAGACATTGTTAATGATAGTGAGAAAACTAACCAATACCCCACTACGAGTTATGTTCAAACCGAACTCAGCATTGTCTACGAAATATGCCTAGTGAGAAGGATGACGAATCAATATCGTACTACGTAAACGAGTCTCATCCGAGACCGAGCGCTCCGTAACGTGATCAAGTCTGTGGATAAATATTGCGCAGAAGCTATTGGCCAGTGCATTTAATCCGCTAACCAAACAAACTCCTTAAAAGGAACCGTACTCTCGAGCAGATCCAGAATCGGACCATTAGCTCACTGCAGGTGCGTGTGAGCAGCTGGCCTATCCTGGTTATTGTTTCAGAAAAGTCAGTGGGTTCAAAGCTTGTTTCCTTTACACAAACACAGAAATGATGCCTAACCTAGAAGATAGCATTAGATATTGTTTCAGACCTTTATATTGCTCAACCAAAACTTGTTTAAATTAGTTACATGGAAGCTTTCCAGAAATGCCAAGAAAGATTTTTGATCCACTGAAAACTTGACAACATTCTTCTGTTACAGTCGCTGTTTTCTATTGTCCTTCTGAAATTTTGGAAGTACTCGGTGGATACAGGAAGACAGGGAGAGAAACAGATCTTTTAAGAAACAAAGGCAAATGCGACTCGGCCTATAAAGTGATTCTTGAAAACAAGTCAAAATTTCCAGGATATCCTTGAAATGGAATAGTGTTTCACAAGATTATGATTTCTTATTACGTTTCTGAAAAACTATCGAATCCGAGTAAAGTATTCTCGAAATGGTCCCTGAATTACAATCGACTAATGCTATTTATAAGCTAATACCCGGATAACGTGTTATCAGATGGGATCGAAACTCGTTTCCGTGGCGATGAATTGGCGACTGTCATGATGGTTTTCCAAAATGCCTTCCTCATACAATTTACAGCTATTTCAAACATTATCAGTGTCTGGGAAAAGTCCAATAGATATCGCGATATTGAAAGCTCATCACTCCAATAAGGCACACTCGACTGCGAACTTGACCTCGTTTGAGGCGCATTTCCGTGATTCTAATCGCGCCGACAAAGGAATGTCACCCTAAGCAAGCTAGCGAATTCCAGAAGAAGCGTGACACCGAAAGTGGCTTTCTTCTCAAAGACATCTCTCTTTTAAATCAATCCATCGAAGGAGCAAACATGAAAATTAGTCGATTTGGAAACATTTCAGAATTTCTCAGCTAAATGCTGCTCAATAATTAGTTGAAAATACTTTTTCATCCACGGGCACGACAGAGTTATGGCATTTCTTCGCGTTAAAAGAATTGTACCAGTTTCGTCTACAGCGCCATTAATAACTTTGCTGTATTTATAAACAAAATGAAAAACACACTGGAAAATATTTCACTCGTAAAGACCGTTTGGGATGACTTTCGGATGCTAAGCACACACTTCAACAGATTCACTATTTCTTTCTGTTTCATTAGAGAATACTCTGTAATTTGAGCACCGCCATTTAATTACTGTCATAAAACCATTCGCTAGGGGGAAATGAACGAATAGGTTATAGCAGTAGCAAGGAAACACTGCTCATCTATCAATGCCTGAACGATCATTAGACAATTTTTCTCCTCTCGGCATGTCCGATAGTCATTCTACTACTTCAATTTATAGAAACATTTGCGATATAACTTTTGGAGCTGAAATCACAAAGAATTTTGAGAAAACCTTGAACCTATCCACGATAACAATAACCTGTTTATGCACGTATTGGATAGGGTTGATCGGATGACAGGGAAACACAGCATGACCCCCGGGTCAGCCAGAATGTGGCCCAGTCCGATCTGTGGTCACCAATGGCTATGGAATCAGGGGTCACTTCTGGCCTCATAAGTAGCTCGATAATGACCACCTAACGCACTTAGACGTTATCTTCACAGCCCTCAGTGACATGATGTCGTTGGCCGTTGATGAACAAAATTATTACTAGCCTTGTTAGAAAAATGCGCTCACCATTTTCTCTCGGATTACTTCAAAAGCCGGAGAACTACGGGAAGCACCGAAAAAGTGTTCAGAAGCCGCTGTGTCTTCACCGCAGCACGGTGGAGCCGATATAGGAAACTGGAAAAACATTAGAAGGAAAGTAAAAGAGAATAGAACAGATCAAATATTTGCTGGAATAGAAAATAAGGAGGGTTTCTCACATTGGATGATCGTTCTGCAATTGACGGTTCATCATCGTCGATGTTACAAAAGCTTCTGGCCTTTTTGTAGCGTTCCAATCGTCGTAGTCGATTCGCACACATCGCTCGATACGCATTGAAGTCATCCATTTTCAAATATCTGCAGAATTGCTAAGGAAGGTCACTATTACACTTCTATTTTAGGAGAATGGCAGATGTTAGAGAAAGAAGAAGAGGAACGGTATGCGCTGTGCGCCTGTCCTGGAGAGGGGGAGGAACTAACTAGAGGCGTCTTTATCGGGAATAGCAATGATAAAGAAGTAGACACTGTGCTGTCTATTGGAAGACTTTGCCCAAACGATAGTGACTGAGGTGAGATAAGGCACTTGAAGTCGCCGAAATCGAAATGAATGCCATTTTCTGGCCGTATCACGAAGTGCTCTCGACGAAAACGCTTATCAGGAAGGATCGGTTAGTTCTAGATACTAATTGAACACGTTCATTCGTTTTTCTTCTATACATTTGAGACACGTGAACAGTAGAACAAACAATGAACAGCAAACAGAATTGCATGAATCGTTTTTTGAAACGTGTGTCTATGAAGTCACAAGAATAAACAAGGAAACAGTCGGAGTTGTGAAAGCATACTGAAATCCTAGAAAGGTGTTCAAATAGTCCAAGAATTTGCTGATGAATTGGGATCGATCTCTGAAGTCAACACATAAGCGAGGAGTGCAGCTGCAGTAATGGTCGGATTAAGCGAAATGAGTGATATAGCAGCAAGAATAGGGATACGCATTCAATTCTCGCTTCATAAATTACGCCTAGAACTGCTAGGAAATTGGCAGACTCCAGAAAAAAAACCATTACAGAGATCATTACTACGTGGAAAAGAAAAATAAGACATTTCACGCTCATATGAACCTCCAGTTGTTCTTTTTATGGCAAGGATATTGCGCCTTTAGTTATGTGATCAACTACTACCGACCTCATGTTTTCTAAGGAAGATGACTTTCAAATTCAAATCACTGGCTATACTTTAAAGCAAACAAAAACAGTCCCATAGAGATAACGGTAGAATGCAAAACAGTTGATACGGGAGGTCAATGTCCTGTGGCGGTGCTTGGTCAAAGCTATGTAGCTTGGACTAGTTTCATAAGGCCGATCAAAGGGTGTGGACAGGTCCAGTGAAGAACACCGATAGAAGATGGGTGGAACGCCGGTTAGCCGATGACGGTTCAGATGAAGTTCTTTTCGCATATTCGCCGCTGGTTTGTTACCAGCGTAATGTGCTGGCATGTCACTTTGCTTCACAGTGCTTCACGCTTATGATTCGAAGTCCTTGCAGTGTCTTCATTCCATCGCCGGCAACGGAACCTGTCTGCAGCCACAGCTGCCGCTGATTGCTATAACGCTAACGACCGAAACTCCCTGATGGAATCAAACACAGCTCGTCAACCACTCCTTAGTTTACTAGAATAAGTAGGTAGTCTTCTCCGGAGCTGACTGGTTACGAGAAAGTATCAGTGTTGAGTGTTCCAGAACGGCAAGATATGAGAACACACGATTTCGGATGGTAGGAAGCAACAATTCAATATTTATAAAGTCGACTAAAATGTTGTTTACAAATTATCCCGAACATATAGAAAAGCAAAAACACAACAGAGTTCAAGATGTACGTATTGGAAAAAGTGAATGAACACCTCTTACGATGAATCCGGAGATTACTGATATGAAAATGGAAATGTTTATGATTCAGCTGTTATTATGGGAAAAACAACAAATCCAATCGAGCTTAGCAATTTTTACGAATGTTGTGAATTTCATCTAACATCCCCTTATTCTTGGGTTTCTTTGCTTAACTATAAATCCTAGGTTTCACTCATGTAAACGGAACAAATAAACAATAGATAAGTACAAATGAGATCTAATAGAAACAAATCCTGGCAAGAGCAATGAATTAAAACGACAACGGTTGCAGTCCAAACTACGTGAAAGGGCAAAATAAAACCGGGTCCGACCGATCGAAGGGCATCCCTGCTCGTTGGTAGCAGGCGAGAGTTCATGCGATGTAGAGTAGCTGCACGCATTTCAACCAACAGGACCAATTAGACAAGGTCATATGGGAGCGAAGCCGTCACACATCCATTACCCGATCGAGCGTCTGCAGACTGGAATAACAGAAACACTCGGGAACGAAAACGTTGCAAATCCGAAGCTCGAGTCAGTGGTGAAGTCAATTGAAGCTGATCGCAGTTTGATTATTAGCGAATTTTACCGACAGGCCGAAGACTCCTACAGAATATAAGAGCAAAAAACCATGGCTACCATATTATATATGTCGAAACCTTTCGTTAATGATGTGATGTGGAAGTGAATATTATTACCTCGTAGCCATAGAAACGTGATGAAAGCTTGAAGAATTGACGAGCTTCCTAGAAACGAAAGAAGTGACCAACGACTTGAACAGCATTTACAACTTTAAAAATCCAGGAATACTTAAGCTTTCACTTGTAGCGGAAAAAAATAAAGTCTATATACGAGCAAAAGTGATCTGAACAAGAAAAACATTCTCGGATTACTTCACTAAGAGCAGCAAGAGCGCTCGCCGTTATCCTACGTTGGCCACGCCCCCACAGCATCAACTGGGTGGAACCGTAATTCTTTGAGGAGTCTTTTAGATCGTTTAAGGGCCATACAAGGAACAGCTAGTGAATACCGCCAAAATTCAAGGTCAGCGACAGATTTTGATTAAACTCCCCACAGAGAAGTCATGAAGTGAAGGTCAAAAAAAATGCGACAACTTCATGTGTAAGCAAAAGTTATAGTGTAACTTGATTCGTAAAAGAAATGCATTTAGGTCATAGCTGTAGTCAGAGAAAGGGTGTACTGGAACAAAAATCGGACTTTCAAGCGGGAAGCTGCGCGGAAATCGGAAAATACCGTCCGTCGTCGAACAACTAACAACGGTCGGTCGATCGGAGGTGTGCAAGTGTGGAGGTTCATACACATATAATACCGCCTTGTCAACTGACCAGTGCCCTTCGTGTAAACAAAACGGAGGGAACAAGGAGAGTGGGAATAGAGGACTGAAGGACTACAACACAAAGAGACGGGCAGAACACTTCTATAAATGCTCCAATATGGTTTATTTACAGGAAGAACAACACTTTTTTCTCTCGAAGTTCAAGTTGTTGGCATTCAGTTGTCTCTTAAATCCTGGTTTCAACGTCGTCCTCCTCCTTCTCACTAATTGCCTCTGTACACGATCGTTCTTTCATCAGAGATTCATCAGAGACGCCACGGTCTCATCACATCTACGCCAACAGGGCCTTTTTGTGTCTTACAGAGTTCAGAAGTCATCGTCACAGACGCCGCGCTTGTAACTCAGTGGAATTTTGCCATCTTACACCTAAGAACTATCACATAGGTTGAAAAACAGTCCCAGAAAAGTTTTGGTTAATTGTCCTCCAAGCCATCAATGGACTTGTAGTTTACCAATGCGATCATTCTTTCGCCTCTATATAGTAGATAGTACAGACAGTTCTGTCAAATTGATTTTCCTTAATCATCGTCATTACGTTTTACAAGTGCTAGAAGATCGTTCAATTATAATCTGGTTTATTGTCAAAGAACATGATAGCGAGCGATATGGAAGAATCTTGGAGCTTTTCGATACCGTTGAAGAATCGATCAATAGTACCCTAGAGAAGCAGAAGGAGAAGAAGAGAAGTCATTGAAAGAAAAATCGCTTTTTCTCAAAATGGTTAGCATTTCACAGGAACAAAAAACACAGATGAACTTTGTATCTGCTTGCTCCGTCGACTAGAAACCACAACAGCAGAGCGTTATGAACTAACTGTTGTTGTCCTTCCCAAACGGCGTTTTCATCAGGAAGCCTAGTTAAGAGTAAACCAATACCAGGATCCACCACCCTCCTGATATCAAAGTCGCATGGTGGCAAATCTCCCTCTGATCCACAAGGACGGCAACCACCTGTGGTGGTTACTGAGGCAGACTTTGGCCTGGCTGACCTCGGGATTCCGGAGAAACACAAAACCAAAAAACCAGCAAACCAGACTAAACCAGCAAACTCTGAAAAATGGAGATTATACTGGGCCCGCCACAACTAGTGAGAAGAGGTCGTTCGAGTATCAAATAAGTAAACGGCAACACCAGATAATCAGAACACGACGGTGATTACGACGTTGGCCGAGCATAGGTATAGTAAATTTACAGCTATGTTCTTAGATCATGTTGGCTCCGATTTTAATCTCCTAACTGGACAACATGCGGTGGGTTACCATTTGAGCTGTAAAGAAAGCTGCCCATAATCATCGGTGATAAGAGGTTTTCGGTTTAGTTGATTGAAATGAAAGATGGCTACTACTTTCAAAAGTTTGTTGCTCCTTTGTAAAACATAATAAGGACTAACTTCGTTAATCTGAGTTGTCATCCTCATTGATTTAAATTTTTAACCTCAAGCTTTCCTGTCGAACTGAACCAAGGCGTAATAGTTGTGCATCATATGTTTTACCACTAAACATGTCTGATGTTAACTCAACAACCCACATATTTTTTACTCCAGAAAAGAACACACCATAATAACTGTGAAAAAGAAACTGATAAAATGATGAAACCAGAAAGGAATTTCTGCTATTTTCGCAATTTATGCTCGCTACCCCACGAGAACAGAGGGTTTCGTCGCTTTGACAAGTTGCAGAGGGGAAACGTCGATCAAATCAACCACCGGTGACAACCCATACTGGTAAACATGTCCCCAATGTGAGATAAGGATTAAAAATAAAGAAAGAAAACATACGATGATTTTGTAGTATTTTTGTTATTCCACTACAGTTAGTGACCCTGTGCTTTCTTGCAGCATAGCCCCTAACAATTGAATAAGTAGCGTTAACGTGACATCGAACAAATAGCTATTGTTTGCTTAGTAACAGTTTTTCTTTCAAAAGTTTTGCTGTACGCTTACAGCCCATCTGTTTTGGTGACAGAATGGAAAGAATTCCCAGAGTAACTGATCATAAGTCTTATCTTTTCGCGGAGACAAGAATTCTTCATGAACCACCACTGTCGTTGAAATATTAAGTCAGTAACTTCAATGATTCTGATATATTTGCAAAACCCAGAACTGC